TCTGGCTTTCTCCTGTTCAGGATACTGGACAAGGCAGTGTCTGTCTCTGCAGAACCATATTGACACAGATAATTTAATAGCAGCATTAGGGGAGGGAGGTGCTGAGGCAGGAAGCAGGGATCCTCCTAAGCTTTTGGCTAATTATGGTTGTGTCAATATCTGTGTTTTTCTAAAAGACCAAATATTAACTCATAGTTCTTAGACGAGCAGTTTGTGGATGGTATAAAGGGTCAGGCTGGTATATTCTTCTGAGACCCTTCAGAGCAGTTTACCGGGAGAACTTCATGGTGGTGTGCTCACTTCACCTTGGAACTTCCCTGCCTTTTAGGTTCAGAAAAGTTCTGTGTTCAGAAGGAATGGAGCAGATATCCATTCGGATCTCCCGATCTCAGTAGCACAGGCTGTGCTGGGAGGCACAGCCCGATGTCAAGGCTTGTACGAGACAATCAACATCACAGTAAGTACCATTACATTGGGCATGAATCAATGCTGCAAAGGTGGGGAAAATCTCCCAAGTCTGCCAGTGCCATGTTTCAGATTCCTTCAGGATTGAGCCTCGGGTAGCTTGTGACCTGCTGTGTCACAGCTCCTTTCTTGTCACTGTGAAGGGACAGGGAAAGGAAGGGATTGCTGGACAAATCCCATCCAAGGGCTACAGGCTGTGCCAGGTTCTTTGCTCATTCCTTCAAAAGCTTTTCCATCGTTACTGACACAGCTTCAGCATGTGTCCTGGGTGTACCAAAGCTCTCCCATCCTACTTTGAAGCTTGCCGGTGAAGTAGATAATTTTTATAGACACCTAATTACTATATAAATGGTTAAACTAGAGTAATAAATGTGACATTTGTGTTCATAGATACCCCCTGGTATTCAGCCAGACCAGAGAATTCGAATGAGTGGGAAAGGCATTCCCAAGGTCAACAGTTATGGCTACGGAGACCACTACATCCACATAAAGATAAAAGTCCCTCAGTAAGTAGAGCTAAAGCAAGTTTCTGCAAAATCTTGAACTTCTTGCAAAAAGACATTCAGAATTTGTGAAAATTTTTATTCCTTATGGTTCTTCTCAAGCACTTCAAGATATTTTGTGATTTTCACTGCAGTGGAGTGAAATGCAGTGGATCCTGTCTCTCCTCTTCCACTGTGTGGTTATTATTTATAGATGGCTCACTGTAGGGATTCCTGGTGTATTCCAGGTGTGTTCACCTTGTAATTCCAGCAGCTGCCTCTCGTGGGTGCTGCTGGAGAGGTTTCAGGAGGGCTGTAGGTACACCTGGCCCCGAGGACAGCCCTAACCATGCCCTGTGTTGGGCCCACAGGAGGCTGACGGATCGCCAGCGAGCCTTAATGATGAGCTACGCGGAGGACGAGACGGACGTGGATGGCACAGTGAACGGGGTCACAAACACAGCGTCAGGTGAGCGGGGGGAACTCCTGCTCCTTCCTCCTGGAGCTGGTGTGGGTGTGCAGAGCGCTTCCTGAGGGTTCCTGGGGGGGAAGGTGAGCCAGGGTCACCTGGAGGTGGTGTGGCAGCACTGCCTGCCGAGCGTGGTGTTTTGGATATAGTTGTAGTGTGGTGTTAACAGGCTGTAGCACAGAGCAGGGAGGCAGCCTCTTCCCAGGAAGCTTTGCTCCAGTACTTGTCAAATCTGTGTGTGTGAACAGAGGGCAGGGACTGAGGTACTCAGGGTCCTGACAAGCTGTGGTGATGAATGCCTCCTGCTCCCTGGCTCCCTGTGCCAGGACTCTCCTTAGAGGGGTAGGAAAAGACAAGGTCCTTCAGGCCAGTTTTCCATGCGAGTCCATCTGCTGTGCTTCTGACTGTGCAGCAGGATGTTTCTCCTGGAATGCTGATGGGAAGTTCTGCTGTCAGGCTGTGCCCTGGGCACGTGGGGGAACCTGGGGTAGGAGTGTCCATTGGTGCCGAGTGTTGGCTCTGTCAGTAGACAGTGTCCACTGTGATGGAGGAGCAGAGTCAGCTGGGAGCTTTGTGAAGCTGCTCTTCCAGCTCCAGATGGAGAACAGATTCAGCAATTGTTTTAAGTTTCTGGGGTGAGGTACCTGGCAAGGACAGCAGCTAAAGGCAAAACACATGGTGAAATAATAAGGAAGGAGCTTTGTCTTTCAGTACTGGAAAACACTTTTTCCTTGCTTAATTGGAACAATGAACTTTTTAAAGCCATTTGGATTCCTTTTTTGGCTTGAAAGCAAACAGAGCATTTAAGACTAGGCAAAGGTGGGAGCCTTTCAGAGCTGCTCAACGATCCCAGGAACTCAGGTCTGCTGTACTACATGCCAAAGCCTCAGGAATATAGGCTCAGGTGGGGGATACTGGAAGGCAGCATCTGCCAAATATTTGCCAATGTTCTGTTTTATAGTGATTTCCTAATATAGAACTTATGTCTTTCCCATGTTACAGTCACCCATGGGGGGAAGGGGAGAGCGCTCTGACCACTAAACTTCCATTCCAGCTTTTTAAAGGCATTTGTGTGTCAAAGGGAAAAAAATCACTCTCCAAACTAATTTTTTTAAAAAGCAAACTTTCCAGTTTTCACCACGGTGAAGCAGCAAGGTGGATTAAAACAACCCCCAGTAGGTTGCAGTGTAGAGACAGGCTGTTGCTGAAGGTGTGTCCTCGCTCCAGGCAGCAGCAATGCAATGCCCCGGGTGGACAGAGGCGTGTTCTGCCTCGGGATTTCATTCCATTGCATCAGTCTGAGCCCGGCACTCAGCCCTGGGAGGATGGGGAGTGCTGGACTTCGTGTTCCCTGTGTGCAGAAAAAGCTTTAGGAGGATTTTGGGGTCTTGTTATTGATGGATTTACTGTAGAAAAAGCAGATTAGCAAAGAGATCTCCTTTGTTCTTGCTGTAGCCACTTCTGGAGGGACAAACAACTTTTCAGGACCTCTATATACAGGACAATTATAAGATTCCTTATCTGGACACTTGGTCTGAAATACTTGTAGTCTTTTTAATTCTACTTCGAGTTCATTTTCTCCTTGATACCGTTTGTCTGAGCACTGCTTGCAATGACACAAATCAGGCTCCTGGTATGGTTTTGCACTGCTTTGCAAGGACACAACCTTGAAACAGGACGAGCTTGTTCCACGGACCACCAGGACAGCTTTTTTAACCCTGTAAAGCCCTGGCTGGCTGTGATCACTTTTTAGTGGCAGACTCTCAATTCCAAGTGCTTGCTTCCAAAGCCTGTGAGGATTTCCCTCATCAGCTGGAGGGCTGGGGAGAGGGGAAGGGAATGGTGGAACCTGAGCCTGTGGTTGGCTTTTCTGGGATCTCTCCAGTGCCAAGTGGTTGTGGGTATCTTACTGCCATGTGAGGATGCAGCACAACCAGCTGCCTTTGCTTGACCATTCCCTGTCTAAAATAACCCTCTGGTACTGGTGGGAGATGTCTCTGACTGCAGCCCTTTGCTGTTTGTGTCCAGGTGGCAGGGCCAAGGCTAGCGCTGCTACAGGCGGGGATAGGCCTGAGGCTGAGGAGAACAAGGAGGGATTCCTTTCCAAACTTAAGAAAATGTTTACCTCCTGACACCCCATCTGAGGTAGGAGGCCTGTTGTGTTTCACTGTTGTCTTTCCCCCACACTGAGCACTTCTTGGGAGCACAAAAAGGTTGTTTCTCACTTAGCCTCAGGCCTTCCAGCCGCGGGTGTGCAAAACCCCAGCTGTGCCCTGGGACCTGGAGCAACAAGCCAGGGATTAAACTGCATTGTTGCTGCAGCCAAAAGCTGCACAGATGCTGGGTGCATCCTTGGGGAGGTGGCTGGGCCTCCCCTGCAGCTCTGCTCCCGTGTCCACCCAGTAGCTGTGCCTGGTTCCGAGCACAGAGGTTGTTCCCGTTAGCTGGTCCCACTGAGACCAGGTTCTGCCCAGCCTTGCCAGAGGCACAGGGGTGCCAGCACACTGGGGTGGACTTGCCCCTGCCACGGGCTTACAGCACCAGGGAGGAGTCAGCCTTTGTCACAGAGCACAGCAAAGCCTTGCCTACACCAGACCAGAGTATAATTCATGTGCCTTCAGTGAGTCTTGGCTGCTCTGAGGGAGCACTGGGACTTAGAATCATCTACAGCAGACATGGTGTCTTGGATTCCAGGGGCTCAGCTTTGCATCTTTGTAGGCTTCAAACTTGTCTGTTTGGCGTGGCTGACAGTGTGACGGCAGGTTGGGAGGGGAGGTGCTCCCGAAGTGGGCTGTGTGCCAACTCAGCCAGGAAATATAAACTTTCCTCTCATTTCAACCGCAGGGAAACGTTCTACTGGGAACTAGGAGCCAGCAGCAGCAGGTCATCTGTGCAGTTGGGGGTGAATCTTTCTGGCAGCAGGCTCTGGAGAGCACAGGATGTCAGTCGGCAGCACAGCAAGAATCTCAGCTGGAGAGGCCACAGACCACCGAGGCACCAACACCCATCGTGATACAACCCCCTCACCACCATCCAAGGAACTGGCAGTGAAGGAAAATGCCAGCTTTGCAGAGATGGGGCTCTCTGGAGGCTGCTCCACAGCCCTACTGCTGCTGGAAGCTTATTGGGTAAAAATTAAAGTTGAAGTATTATTTAGAATCCAAACCAGAAGAAATGTGAAATAAACTGTCCTTCCAGCACAGAGCAGAGCAGTTTGCTGTATGGAGCCCAAGTCTCCACCTGCTGCTCACTCAGGTGCCCTTTGCAATGCCAGGTGTGCTTGGTGAACTCACCACTGCTCACCTTCTCCCAGGAGACCTGGTGGGTCAGGGAGGTTTAACCCTGTCTTCACGACAGCCCTGCTGCCCTGCACAGCTCCGAGTGGAATCTCCCTGGGCCTTGTCCAAGCCCCCGTGCCCTGGCTCCCTCACAGCCGTGGGCTTTCTCAGCCCTGCTGATTGCCTGCACAGAGCAGTGGTGGCATCTGCACTTTGCCTCAGGTTTAACCCCCAAATAACTAAAGTTACCACACAACTGCTGTCGCTTCTGAACGGGTACAAGTTGATCACCAAGCCCTTTGCCAGTTGGGGACAAAATCTTTTTATTACCTTAGCGCAACACCCGTAGCATAAAGGATTGGTCAGAGCATCGTTGTTTTACATGTGTGAGAGTGCAAGTGAGGTGGATCACTCCTTCCAGGTGCAGCTGAGCTCTTGCAGTGAGTATCCCATGGTTACTGTGTTAGTGATACCATGCAGGTACCATCAGCCCACGTACTAATAACCAGTTAAACAGGGACATGTTGTAGTCTTGCCCTTCTTAATTTGCTGAAATAAAGCACGCGTTGCCTCCTGATTAAACTGTCTGTAAAGTGATTCTGTATCCATGTAAATAAGATGGACTTCATAAAGATATTTAACATGTGCTGTGCCTTGCTGCCTTGTCTACTCTTCCACCTGGTCTGTCACCTGCTTTCCCTGGCCCAGTAATAGGAATGAAGGTCTCTGGGACAAAGAGGGACAGGGGTTGGGTGGCTTGAGCATCTCTTGGGGCTGGGATTGATTTTAAGCACAGGAAAAGCTGCCAAATCCGAGCAGTACCTTAAGCATATAAGGGTGAGGGGGAAGGGGCTTTTCCACTGAGTCTTGGACAGTCTTGAAAGACTTCAGTTTTACTCATGGGGACAGCGACTGAAATTAGCTCCATGATCCTAAAGTGATGGAAATTACCTCCAGGAGCCCAAGGGTCAGGCCCAGAGCTGTATGACTTGAGGAATCAGGCTCAGTTTTGTGTTACATGCACAGGAATTGACTGCACAGTCCCTGGTTGCAGGGCTCTGTCTCTCTGCTGGTTCACCTGCAGTGCCTAAATCAGGTCCTTGGAGAAATCATTATGTTTTCAGCTTGCTTAGGAGCCTGCAGCAACACTGGCCATGGGTACCTGCTGTGAAGGTGTCCCAAGGTACCTGCCTTGGGGCCCAGGGATACACACCTTCAGCCCACCAAGTGCTGCCCTATGCTCAGAGCTGCCTGGGAAAGGGCATGATCCTGGGAAAATGAGCCACCACCAGCCTAAAAACACCCAGCATGACTAAAGAAACACCTCCCTGAGGACAGTGTGCAAAGGTAGCACTTCTCCCACCCGTCTACCTGTGCTGTGCAGCCCTTCCTCCTGTTCTGGTTGCCTAAATAGTCTCAACCAAGCTGCAGCAGCACACGCATGTACCAGCACATGGACCAAGCTCTCCCCAGCTGGGGCAGGATCAGCCTCTCCCTGGGGCACTACTGGGAAGGCAGTGGTGCTCAGGGCACCTCAGCCAGTTTCCCCTACCTGGCACAGAAGCTGAGGAGGAAGAGCAGGGAGGGGAAGGCTCAGAAGGCAGCCTTGTTGTCTGCCACCCACTGCTGGAAGGTGCGGGCCGTGGGGTTGAGCTTCATGGTCAGGGCCACGTTTCGGTCGGGCTTCAGGGCATAGAAACGGAACATGGCAGCCAACTCCTTGGCCCCGGGGAAGTTACGCTTCTCGTACTCCTCTGGGGAGATCTGCCAAGAGAATTGCGGGAAAAGCCCTTTCATAGCCTGCTGGGGCTTTCCCTCAGCCCGTGTGGGGAAGCTGAGGGCTCACTTAGAGCAACCTGTCACAGCATTGCCACCGGTGAGGAGGGCTCTGCAAGGCACTTCTGCTGGGGTTGAGCAAAGGAAGCAGCCCTGCCTGGCAGGGAACAGCCCTCCTAGCCTAGAGCCAGCACCTAGCTCTGGCACACAGCTGGCCTGGGCATGGAACTGACTCTTCCATGAGGCAGAGGCCTGGAGCAACTACAAGGGAGCCCTTACCTGAACCAGGGCACAAGCTGTGGCTAAGGATGTCTTAGTTTAACAAGATTACAACTTAGAAATTAAGAAACTTCAGGTGGAAGTGTGGAAAAGGAAAAAAATCTGAATAAACAACAAATGGTGCAATCAAAAACTTTCAGAAGAAACAAAGTCCCAGTTCCCCAGATGGAGGGGGAGAAACCCACAGCAACCTGGGGATCACTGTGCTTCTGCACTGCCCTAGGGAGGAATAGAGCTGCTTCTTTGTCCCTGGGTGAGGGGGCAGAACCTGCAGAGAGCATCAGAGGTGCTTTGTTTCTGCTGAAATACACTTGGTTCTCAAAGCAGAGAGCCACCACACCCCTCGTCCATTGTACTGGTTGCCTGAGGCACAGCCCAAATGCAAACAAACATTAAAAAGAAGTTATGCAGGGGCAGGGAATGGCCAGAAGTGCTGTAAGGGTGACACAGCACTGAGCTAGGAGTGCTGTATTGGTGACACAGCAAGGCCCTGGGGGAAGCCGTGCTGAAGGGAAGGGCATGTAGCAGAAACCTGTTCTATAGGTGCCCATCCCTAGTTCCTCTGGAGACCTCCCGCTTCAGTTATCCCTTGGAGCCAGGCACGGGCCTGCCTGGGCACACCTGTGTGCTCCACGAGCATGAGTTGTCCCAGTGACGATGCCAACAGGGCAGTTTCGGTGCCAGGCTGTGCTCCAGCCGCACGCAGGGGCAGCAGGATTAACCCTGGGCACCAGTGCTGGGCTGTACCAAGCCCATCCACTGAGCTGTGAGTCCTACCTTGCTGGCTACCACAGTCTTGCCCATCTGCTGGGAGAGGACGGCGGCGTACTCTGCCTCAGTGAGCTTGCTGGTGCTGAGCCCCATCACTTGGCCGATGTACTCCCCCGGGGACTTCAGCAGGGAAACCACAACAGGCCCAACGTCCTCCACGGCCATCCCGTCCATCGGGGTGTCCCCCATGGGCAGCTCTGTATGGAGAGATTGATCCCAGCTGCAGTGCAGCCCAGCTCTGAGGAGGTACAGCCGGAGTTTTCAGCACTCAGCCTCTGAACACAGGGTGAGGAAGGGATGAGAGCACCCATCAGTATGGTAAGGACTGAGCTATGAGGCCGTGACAGCCAGAGCAGCACCGTGACTCACCTGGATCTGCAGCCTCCCCACCTCCACCATCCCCAATGCAGGCACTTGGGGTGTCCAGAGCCACTGCAGGATCTGCAGAGCAGCCCTCAGCACCACAAACAGGCCCAGGATGTCACTGATTTCTTGCAGGCCACCAAACAGGTCTGAAAGACCATAATACAGCAGCAACTTGCTGTGGTCAAGCCTCTTTACCCCATCAGCCCACAGCCCTGGTGGTTCCTCCACCCCTCAGCCCTTGCATAGTGGGAGCAGACGAGAACACTGTCACAGGACAGTGACCCACAGCTCCTGCTTACTCAGGACAAAGGTGTCTCCCTGAGGGGCCTTCTGTGGCTTGAAGATGGAGAAGAAGTTCTCAAAGTAGAACGGCAGCCGGATGACCGTGGTGGGAACACCAGTTCTCTGGAAATACTCCTCCACCTCCCCTTTGCCATCAAAGTGCAGCACCTCCAGCTGGCCCCCTGTCAGCTTGTGCACGTTCTCCAGGCCACTGAACACAACGTGGTGCAGCCCAAGGCGCTTCGAGAGGTTGGCCACTCGCTTTCCCTGAGCAAAGGAAGAAGGTGGCCATCAAGAGGGGAACAGGACATTTGGGGGGGCTCTCATCATCCTCACACCCCCCTTCCCCTTTGCAGCACTGGGCAGAAGGGCAGGATCCAACTCACACCAGCTGAGCACCTTGAGCCCTCAGATGGGACCAGGGCTGAGCACACCAATGAACCCAGTGAGTTATCCAGGTGGAGCTGAGTCCTCTCCTTACACCATCCCACTTCAGAAAGACCACACATCCTCCAGCTTTGGTGCTCACTGCTCCACCAAGCACACAAATACCAGCCCAAAAAATCTGCCTGGCCAACATACCTGCCCCAACATATCTTATCTTTTGTTTGCTGCCATCCAGGTGTGGCAATCCTGCCATCCTGGGAAAACCGTCCTGAGGTGAGCACCGCCCTTGGGATCTCTGATACTTACAAGATTTTGGCCCCAAAGCTGCAAGCGCAGAGAATTACAGGACTGCAGACAGCAACAGACCCAGATCTGCCCGAGGCAGGCTCTGAGGAGCCAGGTGTTCACATTCCTGCTAGTCCAACTCCTGGGCAGTGCTTTCTGCTACATATTTAACAACTCCCTGAAGACACCATATCTTGCAGCCAAGTGACTGCGAGGGAACAGGGAACAAGTTCTGGCTTTGTGAGAACTGGAACCTGGTGTTCGTGAGGCCTCAGGGCTCTCCTGGACTCAAACCATCGGGGCTGCCATGGCTACTCCAAGAGCTGTCCCATGCTCCCTACCCCGATGCCACACGGCTGTCCCTCGATCCCTGCTCCCCGACCATTCCACGTGTGGTCCCAGTTAATGCCAGCACAGGTACCTGCTCGATTTCCTTCTCTTTGCTGCAGTGCTCCCAGAAGTCGGTGACAACGAAGGCTCCGTAGGCACCCGCCAAGGCCTGTTCCAGCGATGGCTCATCGTCCAGATCCGCCTTCACCACCTCGGCTCCTCTCCGCTTCAGCTCCTCCGCCGCTATCCTCCCGGGGCTCCGCGTCACCGCCCGCACCCTGAAGGTCCCATCGTCCAGCAGCGCCCGGGCCACGCTGCCACCCTGCGCCCCTGCGGGTGCAGCCGGTCAGGGCCTCCCCGGGGCTCGGGGTGCGCCGGGGCCGCGGGACGGAGCCCCCCGGGCCGAGCTCTCCGCCCGCTCCCCGCGATGCCGCTCGGCCGGGCGGGCACTTCTCACCCTCCGGGCCCCATCGGCGCCTCAGCCCCTCGCCCCCCTCGGGCCTCCCCCCGTCGCACTCACCGGTCGCCCCGAACACCACGATCAGCTTCTTGCCGGCCATGAGGCAGCGCGGGCGGTCCGGGGGCTCTGACAGGGAGAGAAGCAACACGGCCGCGGCTCAGCCCCCGGCCAGGTCCCGCTCGGGAGGGTGTCCCCGGGCACGGGAGGGAGGGAGCGGGGCGGCTGCGGGGCCATCGCCTGTCCCGGCGGAGCCATCGCCGGTCCCGGGGCACCGAGCGCGGATCCCTCACACGGATCCTCACCTCGTCTCCGCTCCAATCGGCTCCAATCGGCTCCTCCCGGCGCAGTTCGGCTCGGCTCGGGGCTAATCGGCTCGGCTCGGCCCGGCAATGTTCGTTCTCTGTTCGGCGCGGCCCGACTATGTTCGTCTCCGTTCGGCTCTGCTCGTCTCCACCCGACTCCTCACGCACACCTGGGCGGGGCTCCGATGTCCATCCCCCCCCGGCCCCGCCCACCGCCGAGACAGCCGGCAGGGGGCTCCGAGCTCGAGCGCATCCCATCGCATCCCATCGCATCCCATTGGATCCCATCGCATCCCATTGGATCCCATCGCATCCCATTGGATCCCATCGCATCCCATT